TCTCCCTCTACCCCACCCCAGCTCCAGGCAGGCAGGCTAGGGAGAGGGCACGCCTGAGCCCTCTGGGGGTGGTGGGCGGGGAGAGGGACAGTTCTGAATGCCCGCAGGAGGAAGGCAGGACGAGCACTGGACTTGAGCAGCGGGGTGGGGGTGTCTCGTGCTGCGCGCGCACCCCCAAAGGCAGCGGGGGGACCGGCCTCCTGAGCTCCCGCGCTCCCGGGGAGGAAGGCAGATGTGGGGGGGGGAGCGGTGATGTCAGATTCCGAGGTCTGGGGGGCCCACCTAGGATGGGGCGTCGGCGGGGGGGGCTCTGTTCTGCGACATCCCCTCCCCCCCGGCCCTGTGCAGTCTTCTCGCCACCGCGGCCAGGGCACTGGGCGCAGGGACAGCTTTCAGAGATCTCTGGAAATTAACTTCCGAGACCTGGGAGAGGGGGTGCGGTCCACCGACTCCGCAATGGGGAAATGCGGAATCCAATCGGACAAACGCGCTGAGCGCGCCCAGCGCCGCCGCGCCAGAGACGGACTGTGAGCGCAGCGCGTCCCGCGACTAGCCAGAGCCTCGGACACCGCGCTGCAGCCGTCCTTTGTATTTTTATTTATTTATTTCTTTACTCGCTCTTGCTCAGGCTGGTCTCGAACTCCTGACCTTGAGCGATCTTCCCGCCTTGGCCTCCCAGAGTGCTAGGATGACAAGCGTGAGCCACCGCTCCTGGCCTCCTTTTTGGGACTTTTTTTTTTTTGTATTTTAGGGGGACCCGGAGACAGCTGGTGCCTGTATACTGCATGAAGCCTGCTGGGGCTCAGAAAACAGCATCCCGGGACAAAGGCCTTCAAAGCAGCCTCGGAAGCAAAAGTTCTTCTCTGGCCTTCTGCCCGCCTGTGTCTCAGTCCCGTTCGCCCCCAGGGCTGGTGGCAGAAACCAGAACCCCTTTCCCCAAGCCAGCCACAAAACCTAAACATACGACTTTAACGTCTCCCCTGCCTTTTTGTGTAAAACCTGGCCTCCAAGGCATTATCTGACCTACTTTGACTGTAGGGCATAAAACCTCCATTGGGGACAGGGTCCTGCCCCGCACCCAGGAGGAAGGAGTGCACGCGGAGAGAAGACTCCAGACAGACAGGCCTTGCTGCGTGTTCCCGCGCTGTCTGTTGGAATCACCTCATACCCTGTTTGTCCACACATATTTCACACAGCTGTCCGTACTTTGTTAAACCTAAGCATAAAGACAATTTCCCCTGTATCTTTTCAGGTTGATTTTCCGTGAACCTTCGGAGTGGGGAGGGGAACTTTTGCCTTGGTCCCTACAGGACCCTAGGGCTCTGGGGCAGCCCGTAAGCAAGGGGATTCACAGGGATAAAAAAAGCATAATTGTTGGGAGGCTGAGGCAGGAGGATTGCTTTGAGGCCAGGTGTTCAATACCAGGCTGGGCAACACAGCCAGAGGCCATCTCTACAAAAAACTAAAAAATGAGCCCGGTGCCCTGGTGCGCACCTGTAGTCCCAGCTACTCGGGAGGCTGCGGCAGGAGGATTGCTTGAGCTCAGGAGTTGGAGGTTGCTGTGAGCTAGGCTGATGCCACCGCACTCTAGCCCGGGCGACGGAGCACGACCCTGTCTCTGAAAAAAAAAAAAAAGCATAATTGGCCATGAAACAGCCTGGCTGGTGCAGGGGAGGTGGTGCTGGTAGAGTTCTGAGACCACCCTGGGAGACAAACTGGGTTTGCAAAGCCTCTCGGATTTGGGGACCAAGAGAGGTGGGGCTAGTTGGAGGAGACAGTTTGTGCAGGCTGCTTAGTCAGCTCAGGAAACGAGAAAAGATGGAGGGGAGGGTGGGAGGACAGAGAGGATGGAGGAGGAGGAGGGAGGGAGGAAGTGGGGTAAGAGCCAAGGGAACTGGGGCAAAGGGGAGCAGGGGGAGGAGCAATTTAGGGAAGAAACAAAGGGGAGTGGCAGGGGTGGAGGGAAAGAGGAGAGGACAGAAGGAGGGACAGAAAGCCCTGGGCTGGCATGTGCGGTTGCATGAATCTCAACTCCGAGCTAGTGTGACAGCTCCGGTCCTCAGTTGCCCTCAGTTTCTTAGCCTGTCAAATGGGTGACCACAGCCGTGCTCCCTGGCAGGGTAAGAACGCAGTCGTGGTCACTGGCCCTTGCTGAGTCTTCCAGGCCCGGAAAGTGGCCGGCCAGTGGCTGGCTCCCCGCTTGTCCTCAGGATCTGCCACCTCACCCCCCCCTTCCCCCACCCACCCCCGGCTTTCCACAGCGACCAATGGCAGGCGGCGTGGGGGGTGAGCGCCTGCCCGGCCCTGTCCTCCAAGTGGTGCTGGAAGCAGGCCCTGGCCGCCTCCCAAGGAGAATGGTGGCCAAGCTGGGCAGAAAACAACCAGCAGCCGGGTGGGCAGGGGGGCAGGGGAGGGGAGCTGGAAGGGAGGGACCCAAGGCAGAGGCCTGCGTGGGCACAGCCCAGGCGAGAAGGGCCCAGGAAGTCTGCGGAAAGAGAAGCCCAGGAGGGGCCCGACCTGCCTGGGCGAGGTTTGGAGTCCCCGGCTGCCTCCTGAGCTTCTGGAAGCCAAGCAAGGAGCAGCAGAGACTGAAGGTCTTCCTGCAACTTCAAGGTCGGCCAGAGAACAGGGCTGGGGGCGGCCTGCCCTGCAGCTGGTCAGGCAGAGGGCTTCGGTGACCTCCCCGTGGGCACCTAGGACCCCGGGTTGCAAATAAAAGACAGCCCGCCTGGGTCCATCTGGGAAGGACCAGGACCTGCTGTGTGGGTTTTGTCTTCCCTGGGGCTCCGGGGGTGTGACTTTGAGATTTACTGGGACGAGGCCTTGGGGTATGGATTTAGGGTTAGCGGGGTCTTTGGCCTCCTTGTTTGAGACCGGGGCGGGGGTTGGATTTAGAGCCTTCTGAGGCCCCTGGGGTGTGAGTTTAGCACTCCCTGCCCCCCCCCAAGGGTGTTTAAAAGCGGACAGGCTTTGGGGCTTGGATTCAGGACAAGTGGAGGCTGGAATCCAACGCAGGCGGGCCGTGGGTGTGAGCTGCTATTTGATTGGTCCCCGGGGGTAGGGATCCCGCACGCCACGCGCGGGGCCGGGGGGCGAACCTGCGGCCTTGGGGCAACAACAGGTGGCCGTCTGCACCCTTGAGCGCGGCCTTTTGGCCGAATGCAAACTTTGTTCCGCGAAGTTTCGGCTGAGGGGCCGCCCCCCGGCGACCTGGAGCCCCGCGTGCGGCCTTGAGGCCGCGGGAACGTCCCGCGAGCCACGCCCCCCCGGCCCGGCCGCAGAACACTCGCGTCTCCTAGACACGCGGGCGGGAGGCGAGGAAGCGGGCGAGGCTTGGTTGCCATGGAGACAGCGGCCATCTCCGGCGGGCTGCTCTAGCCCCCCGAGTCTCTTTGGCCGTCGTCTCTCTGGCCCGGAGAACCTCTCTATGGTCGTGGCCTCCGGAAGGGAGCCAGGCTCGGCTGCGAAGGCCGAGTGGAGAAAGGCGAGGGGCCTGAGGCCGGGTAGACTCGGGGACAGGATGTGAAGGTGGATCCCGGGATGGAGGCTAGCAGCTAGATTAAGGCACGGGGACAGCGACCGACGCGGTGGAAGTGCTGGCCCTGTGGGCGGGGCCTGTTGCTATCCTTGGCGGGGACTCCCGGGGCCCAACGTGGGGTCGGGCGGAACCCGAGCAGGACGCGGCCAATCCCAGGCCTGGGGGGCGGGGCCTTCCCTGAAGCGCCTGGCCAATCCCAGGCCTGGGGGCGGAGTCTGGCTGGGAGAGAGCGCCTCTCGGGTTGGCCCGGGGGCGGGGCTCACCCGGGGCGGGGCGGGAGCCGCAGGCGCGGTCACGCTCACGCTCCGCAGACGGGCCGCGTGCGGAGCGCGGCCCGCCGCTCGCCTGGCGCTGCTGTGCTGCTGGCTGCGTGAGCTGACGCGGCGCGGCGCTCGCGGTACTGGGCACGGCGCTGCGCTGCCTGCGCATCTCTGCAGCACGCGAGCGGGACCTCTTGTAGGGCCGGGGACCGGGCCTCGAGCGGATCCGGCGGAGCGGGGTGGGTCGAGCTGGTTTGGAGGCTCGGGAGACGGCAGGGCCTGGCGCTTGGGGTCTTTGGCAGCTGTGGAGTTCCAGCTGCGCACAGCTCCCTCCCTGCCGCGACACGCACTTCTGCGGGGGTGCCTGTAGAACCCATGCACACGGAAACTGCGGATCGCTCCAAGCCAGCCCCGCCGCGCCACCCCTCCTGAGCCAATGCTAGACCACCACTAGCAGGCCCACCCAAGCCTGAACGTCCATCCTCCACTGCTCCCCCGTGTCCACACTCCTCCAGCCTACACCTACCCTCTTTGCCCTACCTTAACTTCGTCCAGCCAGGGCTTGACTGCTTCCCCCTGCCAGGTAGCTGCTTCCAAGCCAGAGCCCCCCGTGTCTGGCAGAAGGCCAGCATTTCTGAGTGTCCCCACCGTACTGGCGGCAAGTCGCATTCTGCAGGCATGGTTATGCCTAACAGCTAGGGTTAAGACCGCTCTGGGGCCGTGGCGACTGCAGAGGCCTCTGTGGCTCTGCAGCACCAGGGTGCCTGGGCCGCCAGGGGCGACCCGGTGCCTCAGGCTCAGGCACTCCGGTCTGTTTAGTCCTGAGGGACGAGGGGCTGCCCGGATCTCAAGACTCTCGGCTCGAAGGCTGCCGTCCCCTTGGTCGGCTGACGGTTTCCGCTGGCTGGCACCAAGCTTTCGAGAGTTGGGTGTTGGGACACGGAGTTTCAGGGATTGCTGTGTATTCCAGGATGTGTTTGAGGTTCTGAACGGCTTCGGAGGGACAGATCCGGCGGTCTAGGGGGATCCCTTGGAGGATCTCCTGGGTGTGTCTGACGCTAGGGGCTGCTAAAGACGTGGGTCCTTCTGGGTGACATACGGTTGACGCGGGGGTTCCAGAGCAGATGTGCAGCAGACCCCACTGAGGGAGCAGGTGCACCGGCCTGAGCCAGGCCAAGCTGGGTCACCTTCACAGCTTTGCGGGGAGGATGGCGGGCTGAACCCCCTGCAACCGCTGAAGGGACAGGTGGAGCTGAAGGCCACTCTCAGTGATGGTCTGGAACTTTTTTGTTTGTTTGAGACAGAGTCTCGCTTCTGTTGCCCAGGCAATGAGTGAGTGCCGTGGGCTCAGCTCCGCCTCACACAACCTCATACTCCTGGCTCAATGCGATCCTCCCTGCCCAGCCCGAGAGCTGGACTAACAGCATGCGCCCATGCAGGTCATTTTCTGTATATATAGATGGCCAATCTAATTTTCTTTCTATTTAATAGTAGGACGACGTCTCGTTCTTCCCCCCAGGTGTCTCGAACTCCTGACTTCGACGCGAGGCCACTCCTCCCTATGGCCCAGAATGCGTAGGGATACAGGCCTGAGCCACTGTGTGTCACACTGCACCTGCCTGTCATTGTCCCTCTGCAAGGGTGGCTGCTTCACGCCGCAGTCGTCCCTGTTCCACAGAGCCACCTGGTGTCTGCATAATGGCACCAGTTTCCGAGTGTTTCGCGTGCCGGGGCGCCGTCGCCGCAGTTTATGCAGGCATGACCTTATGTACAATGCCCTCTTACCACCACCGTGGGGTGGGCACTGTACTGTCCCCGTCTTACGATAGCCACATGAGGCACAAGTGTGGCCCGTACAATCCGTCCGGTCACACAAGCGGTGGGAACGGGATTGCAAGCCGAGCGGTGTGCCGTCCCACTGGCCTGTGTGTCATTGTAATTATTTTATCTGCCCAAGTTTGTTGTATCTGGCTCCTTTCCCCTGCCAGACCGCGGGTGTGAGGAGAGCTGTTGGGGTTGTGCCGGACCTCCTGGCTGCCACCGCCCGGGTGCACGCCAGGAGCACGCGACATGTTCAGTGCAGGAGACTTCCCTCCTTCCTGGGCACACCAGGCTGTGCCCCTTCCTCCCCGTTTGCCCCTGCCAGAACCCAAACCCCCGGTCCCGTTGTGCCTCCCCTGGGGGGACAGGCAGGTCTGGGGCCACTCTGCGTCCCCGGCTTGGCTCGACACACTTGTATTGGGGCAGCCTCGAAGAAGCCTGGGGGCGCCTGCCTCCTGCTGGGCGTCCTAACTCTGGGTGGCCGGCGGTGCCCGGCGGCGAGTGAATACGCGAAGGGATCGGACGGCAGTCGGACGTTATGGAGAAAATGTGGCTTCTTCGTGGCGCTGTGTCTTGGGTCACTTGCCCCCACGTCCGGGGCAGCCCTGTGGAAAGGCCCCTGGGGGACATCGGAAGTGGGACTTTTTCCTGGAAAAAAGCTCGAAAGACCGAAGCCCCGGCTTACCTGAACCCCGAGCCAGGATCGCAACAGCAAGACCACCCCAGAACCTTTCGGTTTTTTTAAGACAAGAGTCTCGGCTGTCCCCCGTTAACCGGTGACAGCCGTGGCGTCAGCCTGCTCACTAGCACCTCAGACTCCTGGGCTTTAAGTGATCCTCCCCGCCCTCAGCCTCCCGAGTAGCTGAGTCTAACAGATTGGCCACCATGCCGCTACTTTTTCTATATACTTCTTTTCAGACGGGGGTCTCACCTCTTGCCAGGACTGTCTCGAACTCCCGACTCGAAAGTAAGTCTCTGGCCCTCTAGAAGTGCTAAGATTACAGCATGAGCCCACCGTCCGGCCCACTCCCAGAATATTTGACCCGTAAAATCCGTCGAGAACTGCATCGGCACTCTGGGAGCTGAGGCGGGAGGATGCGGCTCAAGGCAAGGAGTATCATAACCAGCCATGAGCAACAACAAGACCGTCCTACTAAAAACAGAAAGAAATTAATTGGCCAACTAAAAATATATAGAATAAATTAGCCGGGCGTGGTGGCGCATGCCTGTAGTCCCGGCTACTCGGGAGGAGGCTGAGGCAGGAGGATCGCTTGAGCCCAGGAGTCTGAGGTTGCTGTGAGCGAGGCTGAGGCCACGGCGCTCACTCCAGCCTGGGCAACAGAGTGAGACTCTTGTCTCCAAAAAACAAACAAAAAAGACTCGGGATCTGCTGGCGCCAGGGGGCGCTCCACCCGCGACAGTGAGGCTGGCGCCCGGATCGTGCAGATTTCCAGCCCGTCCTCCCCCGCGCTCGCAGCGTCTCTCCTCGGGCCTCCCGGGGGCCAACGCGTGCGTGGTTTATTGTCCCTCCTTAGGCTCTCGTCTCCCGACTGCAGGCCCGCGGGGCAGGGGTTTCTGTCCCCCGAGCACGAAGCAGCGCAGGGCAGAGCTTAAGTGCTCCGGAAATGTGTCGGGGCTGCAGGAGGGAAGGAAGGAACCCTGACAGGCGGTTCCTGGGGAAGGGCCGGCTGGCCAGGGACAGCCTCTCCAAGGAGGTGACCCCTGAGCTGAGACCTGTGGGATGGGGGGAGGCTGGGAGAAGGGTGGTCCAGGCAGAAGGGCCCAGCACGTGCAAAGGCCCTGGGGTGGGAGGGTGGTTGGGGCACCGCCCTGATCGTGCAGGCCCTGGAGGGCGGTGGCGAGGAGTTTTGATTTTCCTCTGCCTGTCACTCGCTGGAAACCCGTGAGGCGCTTTCCGTGTCCCCAGAAGACCCTGGGCCAAACGTCCAGTACTGGCTGCCAAACCGGGCCCATCATGGTCCCTTTTTTTTTTTTGAGACAGGGTCCTGCTCTGTCGCCTGAGCTGCAGTGCCGTGGCGTCAGCCTCGCTCACAGCAACCTCCAACTCCTGGGCTCAAGTGATCCTCCTGCCTCAGCCTCCCGAGTAGCTGGGACTGCAGGCCCGAGCCACCACGCCCGGCTCCACCCATGGTTCTTAATTTCAGCCTGCTGGGTTCTTGGGTGGCCATTTTCCGGGCTGCCAGGGAAGAGAACACATGGTATTGCAAAATCCCGCAGGAGGAGTTTGCCAGATTTAGTAATTAAAAATACGGGACGCTCAGTTAAATTTGAATTTCGGATAAACAATGAATAACCCGTTGGTATTCACTGGGACACGCTCATACTGCAAAGTTGTGTGGTGTTTACTGGACATTGACATTTAACCGGGCAACACTTTGTTTTCCTGTGGCAACTCCAGGCGTGGCGGCGGCTCTTCACTGTACTCGGCCATTTGGAGGCCAAGGCGGGAGGGAGGTGGATCCCCCGAGCGAGGTCCAGGAATGCCAGGACAGCTGGGAACATAGTGAGACCCTCTACAGAAAAGGTAAAACTAAGTAGGCCAGGCCTGGTGTTCGCCTGTAGTCCAGGCGGCTTAGGAGGCTGAGGGGCGGAGGATGCGCGTGTGCCTGGAGCCGCAGGAGTTTGGGTGCAGGCAGTATGATCGACTCGGGCCCTCAGCCAAGGCGACCAGGTCAAGATTTTCTTGGTTTCGAAAAACAAAGGAAACCAGGGCCTGATGGCTCTGAGGACTGCCACACTCCAGAAGCGAGGGCGGACGCCGGATCAGCCGCTTGTGCTGGGTGGTATGTTTCTGTCTGGGACCCCTCCGCAGACAAGGTCGCGCTCAAGGTCACGCGGTCGTCTGTGGGATGCCCTTCCAGCCGAGTTCCCGCGCGGGGAGGAAAGTC